ATCGCTACTAGGTTGGAGGCCCTCGCTAGCAGGTTGGGGGATGTTGGGGGCCGTCGCTACTAGGTTGGAGGCCATCGCTTTTGTGTTCATGATGTTAGCTACGTTACTTCCGTTGGCCGCTTTATCCTCCCAGGTGCAGCTTGTCCTGTCTTTCTTGGATGCCAAGTCCCTGGGACGCTGCGAATGTGCCTGGCCCTCTTTCCTGGCAGCAGCGGATGCCAGCAAGGCCTGCTGTGATGTCGGTTCCTCGTGTTAGGATCAAGTCATGTGTCTTGTATGGCTGATGCTTTCTAACTTGCAATGGCTTGACTGATTCTCGCCTGTGTTGCACAACAGCGCGATGCAGCATGTTAATCTATATTCCTTGCAGATTTGGGGGCAGCTGCTTCAATGCGACTTTAATGAAGAATCGGAGACGCCTCGCAGCGCATACCGCAAGGGGATCCCAGACAGACGTCCTTTGATCGCAGAAGCCGCTCTGCCTGGGGGGAGTTTGTGAGGTCAACTTGCTTTGGAAGCTTTGAGCAGACCAACGGCAGGACGGGAGAAGTCCGGGAGATTCAATTAAGACCAGATAAAAACCGACAATGAAAGACTCCATCTAGTTTCTGTCACTGGACATATTATTGGTCTTTAGATCATCATATGGTTGATTCGTCAAGTCACTTTTTGCGCTGCGTCTGTCGCACAGGCATGCCTGGTATGACTCGGGGCCTTAAGCTCTTCAAGCCTCGGGCCAGGATCCCATGAGGATCCGTGCAGCGTGCAGTTTGTATAGGCTTGTAGGATTTTGTAGGATGTAGGACGTGTAGTATGTAGGATACAGCTCTTGTCTAAGACGATTGAGCTGAGACAGCACAGTGTCAGATTTTCAATTTTGACTTAGAATGACACGGTTGTCTGGACATTCTCTAACGTCTTCCATGACGTGCTCCTGGGAGATTCTGTGCAGGTGCCTTCATTGATTTTCTGAATATTTCTGAATCAAAGCGGGTGTTTCCCCAGATGAATGAGTAACCTGCCGAGTGAAGCTTTTTCCAACGGGAAACTTCACGAGAGAATTGTGCATACCAGCAAACCATGGCTGTGTTGCCATGGCCAAATGGGACTGGGTCGAAACCACAGATCCCCAAGCACTAGTGTAGATTCCGTGGCAGAAAATTATGTTCATTTTTGGATATTCCCTGCAATACAGGATTTTGCATGGTTTTGACCCAGCCGTATTTATGCCTTCGATGCAAGGTGAAAACAATCGTCCTGGTGGTCTTGCGCCCGTTTGTCTGTTCATTTGGCCAATCCGCTGAGTTGCAAACAAACGCACGCATGTGTTGTCGTTTTTGTTCTTTGCCTTAGCTCTTTGAATAAGTATCCCTGATTCACAAGGTTTGCTGTCTTGGTCTCACTTGCCGTTGACCAAATGAAGGCCGACGAATGACTCACTTTCCGCTACTTCCCGCAGCCGTCACGTCTCCAACATTGACGCAATGACACAAGTGCGAGATGTCTTGCCGCAGCCCTGGAAAGGCTGGGCTGTACCTTCTGGACCTTGAATTAAAGATAAGTACTGCAGTTATTTACACCATAATTGCATTCATCCAAACAGCGAGTCGAGTCTAGTCTAGAAATGCAACAGCATACCATACCTCCTTCATACTCCAGCAGCATGGATTGTGACGAGACTGAATTTGTCCTTCTGGTCCGTTTGCCATACCTTTTCTCCTGAAAGGTGTCAACTTGGGCGGCTGGCTTCTACTTGAGCCTGGACCATCATTCCCTCTTTTTACGCATCACTTGTTGAAGGACAAGAGCCAGGCTTGGCCACTTCTGATCGATTCTGCCATTCACATCCATTCACTTCATTGAAAAGATCTGGTGATTTGATGTGATTTGTTGTTTTTGGCCTTTTCTGCTTCAAATGCTTGCTTCTCCAGGCTCGTTGCGAATGGGACCTCATGAAAGTACTTTACGAGAAGCTGGGGAAAGCTGGAGCGGCCGAGGTGATCCGGTCACACCGTGAAACGCATATCACCAAGGCCGAAGATGGAGCACGGGCGCAATGCGGGTGCCTTCACTATGCGAGACTGCGAGTCTTGTGTCACACCAATGTATGCCAGTACAACTTCCCTCTATCAGGTAGACTGGTAGAGTCTACCAGAGTCTACCTTTACAGACAGTTTCTTTCTGCCAATTCCTTTATTTGCCAGCTCTGTGATCCGTTTCTTTGGAGAGGCAGACTTTGAGCGAGTTCGCAGCTATGGGCTGAATGCTGTGCGGCTCCCCTTCGGCTACTGGATCATTTCGCAACCAAGGACTGCCCCGGGGCCGGGCGGGTGTGTTTGGTTTTAACTGACGGGCCGTTGGTCTCTTGCGGGAACCATCCAGATGTTGAACCCGCGAAAGAACTGGCATAGCTTGGGTCCGCAGAACGCAGAAGAAGGACGTTCGGCCCCTTTAGTCCCATGATTGCCTTGGGTGTTTGACTCAACTCATTACCCCTCACTGCTGCTGCTGCTGCTATCACTACGGCTACTAGTGGTAATGCCCGTAAAGCAGCGCTTGACAGACGCTAAGCTTTTTCGAACGGTAACGATCCATAATGAAAACGCACCGCCCTGACTTGTCCACTTTGAGGCCGAGAGAGCCCTACATGGGACCTGCGTTGGAGTACGTCGACCGGGCCGTCGCATGGGCAGAGGACGCGTGCCCAGAGTCGACGCGTTTGAGGCATATAGCCTCTTGCTCCTGGCTTCTTGCTCCTGGTAGTAAGGTCAGGAGCTACTATGCTCCTACTAGTAGTAGCGATGCCCTGTGCTCCTAGTTGCTTCTTG